GATGTATCTCGCTGCATTGCGCGAGTACGCTTCTAGTAAAATATAAACGGATTGGACGAGTCTGTCGATATATATTTTTATATGTCCATATCCACCCGTTAATTTTAACGAACAAACCCGGGACCGTCCATTTTCTCGATAATGGTTGTTCAAACCTGTATTTCTAATGGACTGAATGGACCGTGTCTAACAGGTCGTCCCGTCTATAAACAATTTAATTTATACAAATCAAATATACTAATTTGATTCAGTTTGATTATTTATCTTCTATGCATAAAAAGAAACCATTATGTATGCAACTATTACATCACAAAAACTAACCTTTCAACCCATCCTAATTATCTATATTTTATAAAGATTTAACTCGTAGAAACCAGATAAAAAGTAATGATAATTTTTTAGAAATAAATAAATATTTTTATACTTTGCAAAAAGAAAATCAAAAAAAAAAAATTAGATTATGTTTGACAACTGTAAATTATATATTTTTTTAATTTAACTTATTAAAAAACCTACTTAAAATACTATTTTATTATTATATTATTATTTAAAAAATATTTGTTATTAATATATGAATAAATATATTTCTTTACAATCATCATGCATAATGCATTTGGTTTTCAAAAAAGAATTCCTCAATTATCATATGTTTCTGACGTCACGTGAATAGCCAAAACCACTTGGCCATCCACCAATATCATATTTTTATTTTTATTTTTATTTTTATTATACTAAAATTAAGAAAATAATTGCTATCTATTTACATATTTTATGTAATCCCTACCCTCTTCCTCTTCAAATCCTTTGTTTGTAAAATTTCTTGAAAACCCATACCGATCCGAACACTCATAGTTAACAAAAAGAAATTTACATATTCCATTTATTGAATAAAAAATTCGGAGAAATTGACGAATCAAATGATAGTTGCTTTCCGATTTGTGCCTTTTATTTTCAATCGAACCTTTTTTTTCGAATAAGTTTTGATTTGTATAAAAGACGTAATGATTCAGACATTATCTCGTTCTATCGTAAAAAGTCTTAATGAAATGGTTGAAATCATTTTCACATGACAACAAAATTATGAGGAGCATACCCTACCCACGTATAACATGGTGTGCAAGACCCCCATTGGGGACCACTATATCACTTATCCGTGTTTTTTTTTCCTTTTTAATGTTTGATTGACTTTAATCCATTAACTTTTCTAATACGCAACCATTCTTATTATTAACCGATCAATAAAAACATCTGATTTTTATAACCACGTTTTTTTGTTGTTGTTATAATACAAATTGCTTTATGACCGTAAGTATTTTAAAATGAGTATATTTGTTTTATAAAATTACTAAGTTATGATTTGTATTTTTATCAATAAGCTGTAAAAATGAAAGAGATTAATAGACAAGCAAGAAGGGGGGAGGGGACAATATTTACATTTATAAATGTTAAAGTAAAATACTTACAAATACATATTTTGTAGTTATAAAACCCACCTTTTCCTCTCAACATGATTATGATATCAAATGCAAATGCAACTACGTTATTGGATTCAG